AGTGCCTACTGCTGAAACTAGTCCTTTCGCTGTATGAGAGATCTGCACTAATGCACCGACGCCTAACTTCAATCTCCCCTCTGCACATACGCAGTCAGCTACTGCTTAGTTGGTGTGCCTAAAAAGCTTTCCATAGTGCTGTTATCACTAGAACCATCAGCTCAGTAGTTCACGACTTATAAATACGATATTCTCAGTGAAGTATCTGTTAAAGTAGTATTTTCCTGATTCAACAAATAAACTGTCATTTATGAATAATGCTGAGCAATGTGAGTATCTTTTCCCTCAACAATTATGTACCAATAAATGATCTCGTAACTGAAAGGCACACTAAGGCTAATGTTGTCCCCTGCCCTAAATGGCAAGCATCTCAGCTACTTCTCAATGCACATGTACTGCCTATTTAACCACACGTATTCTAAATTCTTATTTATACATTTATTAAAGCAAATAGCTGTGTTTTCACTTACTAGTTTCAAATAAAAGATCACTAACCTAAGAGCAGCGATCTGCAGTATTCTAGTATAATCATTGCCACTGCATGTGCAGATGATCAAAATTCCAAAACCTGGCACAAACACTCCAACACAATCATGAAATTGGTGTGGCTCTACCACCTCCTAATTATTACAGTTGCTTCTTTAATCTCAGATGTATGAAAGAAGCAATATCTGCTTTTCCGGTGAACTTCATCACAATTTGCATTTTCAGGAAACTAAAGACCTCTAAACTTCCTCTAAAAAAGGGGAAGCCCCCCCTCCCCGAAAAAACAAAACAAAACTACAAGAGGAAAAAAAGGAAAAAAAAAAAGAAAAAAGAGAAAGAATTTCTTAGACTTTCTTGCAAGCAAGAAATCAATTAAGAATATAGTTAAAGAAAAATAACAAGACTTCGTGCTTTCTCTGCAGCACATTCTATGTGGAAAGTCACTTGCATTTGCTTTGTACCACATTCTGTCTAACACCTTCCAGGATACTGCTAATAAATAGAGTTTATTAATGACATTCAATTAAGATTATAGTTTATCTAACTGTCAAATGGAGATGTGAGCTTGTTTCCCGGAAAAAGACACTAAACCAGAAAAAACTGGCTGTAAGTAAGGTACAACATGCTGAAACTCTTGAGATCAAGTGCAACAACTCTGAGAGCCAATAAATCAGCATTGTGATGAGCGACTATCAATCCAAAACAATAAATGCTTATCACAAATATGACTAAACACACTGTGGTCAGATCTGTTGTTATCTCAACCCTTCGTGCCCCATGTTGGGTGCCACAAGACACTGTCGTGGTTTAAGCCCAGCCGGCAACTCGGAACCACGCAGCCGCTCGCTCACTCCCCCTCTTCTTCCTCTGCCCCGCTCCCGGAGGGATGGGGAGGAGAACCGGAGGGATGTAACTCCCATGGGTTGAGATAACAACAGTTCAGCAACTAAGGTATAATACAAACCACTACTGCTACCAATAATAATGATAAGAGGAATAACAAGGGGAGAGGACACAACCGCTCACCACCCGCCGACCGATACCCAGCCCGACCTGAGCAGCGATCTGGGCCTTCCGGGTAACTCCCCCCGGTTTCTATACTAGGCATGACGTGCTGTGGTATGGAATAGCCCTTTGGCCAGTTTAGGTCAGGTGTCCTGTCTCTGCTTCCTCCCAGCTTCCCCTGCTCCCTGGCAGAGCATGAGACTGAGGAAGTCCTTGGTCGGAGTAAACATTACTGAGCAACAACTAAAAACATTGAGGTGTTACCAGCACTATTCTCAGACTAAAGCCAAAACCACAGTACTGCACCAGCTACTAAGAAGAAAAATGACTCCTATAGCTGAACCCACGACAGAAAACAACATGTAGGTAGTGCAGCAGATAAGTAATTAAAGGATTTAAGAACAATGTATTAAAATATTTATTAACACCAAGACAAGACACGCAAAAATAATCAGCTTTTACAGAAAAAAACCCAGGTTTTCTGCAGAAAAAAAAGCCTAATATAATAATAAATCTTGCCGATTTTCAAAAGTTATTTATCTCCATAACCAAGGCTGCATACGCTCTGGTAGTCTTTCACAAAATTACCTTAAATTCCAACCAAGTTCTCTGATCCTAATGTTTCAACGTCCTGCACCAAGCTCCTGAACGTTTCTATTACAAAACCTTCCCTTAAGGCAGATGAGTATTATCCAAATACTCTCTTATTTTCTCAAACAACACAGCCGTACAGATTTTCTTCACCAACCTTGGCAATGCTGCATAGCTGCTTTAGGTGTGCTAATTAAACTGTATTTATGAAAAGAGAATGATCTTTCTACCTAGTCTTTTCTTGTCCAGATTATACTGATAGCAAGAAGTCTCAAATCTTCCGAGTGTGAAAGTGTTCATTAACATAGGAAAATAGTGAGAACCTTGGGTGGTGAATTACTTTTTCTTTTTTTTCTTTTCATCTGCTGCCATTTTTAATTTGACTTCTTCCACAGGAAGTGCTCCTAATTTCTTCTTCTTTGCATTCTTTACCTTTTCCTTGATGGCTTCGATGTCAATTTTTTTCTCAGTGGAGGCTACACAGTAAAAAAAAGATACAAAGACAACAGACACGGATTTAACTTTTCTCTAAATTTTAACAGTCTACAAGATGACTTCATATACAAACACAGTAAACTGCATCCAGTAGCATTGGTTAGGACTCATTTTATGTTCACTGTTGATTTTATGAACTATTCTAATAATAATTTTTGCTGAAAATAGTATTATACACTTTCTTTCAGCAGGTTCAGAGGAGAACAGTCATAAAAATCAAAAGTCAGAAAAAATCCTATACAGCTGCATTTGAACACAGATGCCACAGGCAAGACATATGAATGCCTTTGTAAGAGACTTCTACAAGGAGTGCCAGAGGACTTAAATTAAGCACTTAATGCCATGCAACATGAATAACCTAATCTATGTTTAGGTGATGGCATTTTTTCTTTAGGGCATAAGTCATGAGCTTAGATCCAACTCTCCTATCTTACTCAGTCTTTGGATCTCAGTTCTTCTCTACAAACTTGGAAGTTTCAAGGATTTCAGATAAGAACACGTAACAGCTAGGAAAGCACAGTATTTGAAATGCAGTGCAGTCCATAGCAGGATCACTGAAAATGTACTGCTATCGCAAAAAAGTACTGTATCAATACTGCAGAACACAGGCTTTTCGAGATACATGAACTTTTCAGTTCTTAAGAAATTGGGTAATATATACTGCAACAGTGTGCAGGTAGTATGGCTAATACAAAAGATACATAGTAAATCTAAGGCAACGAATTACTGTGTAATATAATCAACAAATCTGGAAAACTAAAGACTTGTTTCTTTAGTGCATAAAAACCAAATAATTTGAGAATGCAAGTTCTCATTCTGCTACAGTGCAGTTTTAGTTTAACTTTGAGAAAACCCCATCTTATACCAACACTTACCAATGGTGTAAGTTTTCAAGTAAGTATTGCTTTTGGGTTTCTTTTTATTAACAGAAAAGCTATTTGAATGCAGAAGTTATGGCAGCTTCACTACAAGACTGAAAGCAAAAAATTGATGTAACCAGAATAACTGACATGGCCATCCCAGTATCTCCATCAGGAAAATGTTCTATGCAGAATTGTCATTTTATAGATAAAGGATTATGGCCTGCATGATCTACCTTCTGTCCCTGGCAACTACAGGCATGGATCTAACCACTAGGATTTTTTTGCATGACCTTTCTTATTTCCTACAGCTGAACCTCTACAAAAATCACTCAGCCTAGGAATCAACAGCAGAAGGTTACAGAACATGGTTAAAAAAATATAAATCAATGGTTACCTTTCTTTGTTTTCACAGCTGGCTTTTCCTTCGGTGGGATAAAAGCTTTATTTCTTTCTTCTTGTCTTTTCTTGAGTGCATCTGCTTGCTTTGCCTAAAGTTACCAATAAAAAGGTTAAGTTAGCGGTAAAGCAGGGCAAAAGGGACACTCGGAAATCAAACCAAACCAAGTAAGCAGTAAAATACTCTTTAACTGAACAGTGGGTTAGAACAACTTTACCTTTATCTCTTCCACTCGCTTCCGTTTCTTCTGTCTTTCTTTCAAAAAGTATTCACCACTTGCCAATTCTTTATCAATCTGCGTAAGACAAGTACCAGGAAGCTTTAGATAATTATGCTATCATTATAAGCCAGATGTACAGGATCAGGAAATTAGAACTAGACAGAAAAGGCCTCCCAATCTCTTGTTAGCAAGAACATGATTTCAAGTTGTACTATACTCCTGCATAACCAAATAAAGTTTTGGCTGACCTGGCTTTCTGGCTGTGGAGGTGGGAATGGCGTGTACTCCTTCTTGGTATTTTTCTTCTTCGGCTCCTTGCGTTTTTTCAAGTTCTTCCGCTTGAACTTCGGCAAAAATCTTTCCCAACTTTGTGACCTCAGTTCAGGATCTTTTGCTAATTCCCTTTTGATCATCAATGTCTTCAGTAGTTTTAGAATGTCACAAAGAAGTTATTAAAAAAATACTAGCCAAGAGCTCCAAACTACAAGTTTTACTAAACTTTCTTACAGTCAACATGCTACATCCGAACCTTCCATCTCTCACTTCAGTACGAATAGAGGGGTTTAATTATGAACAGCAGAACCAGAAAGATATGTATGTCTCAAAGCAGGGACAGAATACATTGGAGAAGGTGCCTCAGTTTAAATGAGCAAGTATCAAGCAAACAATCAAAGGGAGGAAAGTTTATAGACACTATTCCTTTGATGTTTTCTGAGACACTGTTAATGATATTATGGCAATATATCTTGGTACAAGTCTCAAAAAACAGACTACTACAGAGGAACATGCAAATTATGAACATACAAAACTCTCTAAGAAAAAACAGGACTTTCTTGTAAGCAAAGATGCACAGTGGACCATGCTAACCTTTATATTATATATGGGATGTACGTTCTTCATTGTGTCCAGAACAACTTTTCTGACCTGTATTTAATAAAAACAGAAAACTCAGCAAATATTTCATATTCTAATCCATTAAATTACAAGGTATATGATCTTGCTTCCCCTCCCAGCCCCTACCCATCAAAGTAGGTAGATTTAAAAAGCTAACACACATGCTTAACCAGAAGGCACAGCACTTCAGAAATATCAATAATCTTGTCATGTTTTCAAAACACTCCAGCACACCTCACAAACATCGCTTACATGTTACCATGAATTTTATGGTGTCATGAGAAACTTGGTTTTGATGAGCATATTTCTCCTACATAGTAATTAAAAATGAATTATATATTTTTTTAAGGTTATATATCATGAACTCTGCTGCAGTATTTTCATTCTTACACCTCTTATCTGAAACTACCAAAAGTTTTGCTAAAAAAAGAACCAAACAACCTGAAACAGTAGCTCACAAATACTTTTTTACTTCTAAGACAGAAAGATCTCAGAGTCCAAGCAAAATTCAGCAGCTAAGATGCTAAGGCTACACATGTTCACATAAAAGTATCTCACACGTAGCTGAAAAGTCAGTGAAATATTCCTGAGATTGCCCGATTTTGCCCTGGAGCCTGGAACAGAAGTCTGCTACACAAACGGCTCATCTGCCTCCCCTTACCTCTTTTAGCCCACTGAAGGGTCCAAGAGCTGAAACAGTGTTGCCTTGCACCATAATATAACAGTTTGTTAACAGTTCCAGGGCCTACAAAAAAAAAAAGAAATGAAGTAAGTATAAACTGAATACCTTACTCAAATTTGGGTCTAAGAATTATCTGGTTACTACACCTATAGGAAATACCTTCAGAGTAGATCCTTTTGGCCCAAGAAGTCGTCCTCTTCTTTTTATAAAAGTGTCTCTCTTCCTCACCAGAGTGCCTATTTTAATGATGTCACATGCAACATCATCCTGAAGGATACGAACTGCCTGAAGAGACAAGAAGCAGGCAATATCATCCGAATGTATTATTCAGAAGAGTCAAAAGAATACTTCAGTTTATTCTTCTCACTTTGCTTTCAGATATATTTACTTTAAATATATATTTTATTTTACTTGACTCACTTGAAAATCCCACATTTTGAAAACATACTATTTTATAAGTATTATGACAGAATTTGATACAAGCTTCCAGGATTTAACTCAGACCTGTTCAAATGGAACGCTTCTTGCCAGAAGTTTTATTAAATCTCTAGCCCTGATGATTGCATACGGATCAAAAGTCTTCTTAGTGGTAGTGACAGTCATGCTTCCTTCAATTAGATCCAGCGCTGCATTCACATACTGCAGTATTTGAACAGAAACAGTGATTCAGCCTCTAAATAAGAATCTCAGAATTCATCTTTGTCAGTGAGAAGCTCACAAACAGAATGCTACATACTGAATACTGATCCATTTTCCAAAATTCCTTAAGTGACTTTCAGCTTAAGGAAATTCACACACCCTCCTTGAGAAAGGAGGTGGATGGTTTCTTCTCCCAGGTAACAGGACAAGAGGCAGCTGCCCCAAGGTGCACCAGGGGCAGTTTAGGTTGGATATTCAGAAAGATTTCTTCACAGAGAGGGTGCTCAGGCATGGGAACAGGCTGCCCAGGGCAGTGGTGGAATCCCCATCCCTGGAAGTGCTCAAAAACTGTGTGGATGAGGCCCTCAGTGACATGGTTTAGTGGTGGACTTGGCAGTCCTGGGGTAATGGTTGGACTTGATCTTAAAGGCCTTCAGTGATTTTGATGTCAATAAAAAATTACACTACCAATTCTAAATGCAAGCATAGTAGAAATATACACAAATACGGAATCAGAAAAGCAACTTGCACTGTCTTTATAAGCTTAAGACCTGTATCTCCCAAAAGATAAAACACAGTCTCACAATTAGTAAGTATTCATACATGTTCACTCAAGGCTTTCTGGACGAGTGGCCAGCACTCTTTCAAGTACGCTTCTCTGTACTTCGGGAATAATGTTGCAAAACTGCTTTCTTCCAGCAGGCCTTTGGGATTATCCTCTCTTGTAAAGGCTGGCTCTTTCCATCCATCCGGCACAGTGAGGAGTTCGGACTCATTTTTTATTTTAAAAAAAAAAAAAAAAAAAAAAAAAAAAGTTGTTTTGCATCTCTTCTGACCTTAAAAAGTTACTGCTCTACGCTATTTATTTTAAAAAGGGAGTTTCTCAGTTGAGATGCGCGTTCCGGATAGCACATTACCCAAGAAGAGTACCTGGGCTGAGCACTGTGAGGAAAGGCACACC